CCTTTTGGGATGCCACACAGTGAGGTAAACTTGGGTCCCTTAACCAAATTGTCATAGCCCCTCTTGGAGCTGGGTGCCTAACCTGAAGGCATGGCAAAGCCCAGGTCGCTTTGTGGACCTGGACCTGAGGATGGTAACAGGTGTAGAGCTACAAATGGTCATCCTTCAGAAAGACAAATCCGTTTGTCTAATTGACAGGGGATACAATAAGTCTATGTAGGAATGGTCAGGAAGGAAAAGGAAGGTGTATTCCCTTGGAGTGGGAGGCTGGTTTATTTTTCACAAAATGGAAGAGCTGTTAGAGATTTGTGCTTTCACAGTGAATCCTGGGTCTTGAAAGCCTATGAAAGCTTTCCAGCTTTTACTAGCATGACACCTTCCAGGAGGATACACAAGCTGGGAAAGGAACCTGCACCAGTTAAGACTGACTCAGTGGGTATTTACTTACACTGGCTAACACAGAGCCGCACATTGCCAATTTCCCAGGCATACTGAAGAGTCACATCATTCACTGAGTATCACTGTCACTATGAAGTGGACTGGAGTGCCTCCATCTGAGAACCCAAGCCAGCTTTGACTCAACACTAGGTAGACGTGCAGGTCTTTCAACACCACTGCGTAGCCTTTTCCATGTGCAAGATAATACTCATTGCCTCGGAGCGTTGTTATTTTCTACAATGACAAGGTTTATAAACTCTTTGTGAAATCACAGTCATTTCTTTGCATCAGCACTGTGATTTGCAATGTTGAACTTCAGTATCTGTAGTTCCACTACTACTCTTCATGGATCATTTGGTGTGTGGATGTCAAAATGTACATCCAGTGTAAGTTTTTGACATGGAATTGAAGAGACTGAAGGGAGAGAGATTTTTCTCCTTTTTTTTTTACCTAGAGGTATCAAGGATGGGTCTGCTGTCTTTTGACGGGGCAGGAAGACTGGAAGCCCTGGGAAGTCTGGAGCCCTTATACTGACAGATGAACTCACAAGATTTGTATTAAATTTTTCAAATATACTTCAAAGAAGTTCATTATTTTTTCTAAAATAAGACTTTTGATTTCAAACGTAGCTTTCAGGTTCTGAGTAGCTCCAGGTACTTCCTGCCCAGTAATGTTTTACTATCAAATTTTCCTATACAAAATTAAAAGTTTCTCTCTCGAGCTCCATAGAGAAAAAGGACAAATTGCTGTCTTTTAAGTGAAGCAGCACAACTGAGTGTAGAAAGTGTTGGTAAGTGTGTGGAGAAGTGGTGAGGGAAGAGAAAGGGAGAATGTTTTTCCCTATCGTCTCATCTCTTTCTGTGATAATAATCTTATGTGTTATTTGTGAAAACAGAGCAGATGTCTTCAAATAGCAGGGCAATTTTCAGCAGTGTCCCTGTAAATGATCGTTCAAATATCTCATATGTGGCCTTGTCTTGTTCAGGCAACTCCTGGAGGACACAGAATCTTAAAATCCTCCGCAGTCCTGCTTTTGGCACTTGCTCTCAGTGCTCTTACTTGATGAAGCTTTAGACAGCATAGCTCTGAGTGGGAGAAACCTTTGTAACAGGAGCTGTGACATCTCAGCAATGCTAGCTAGGCAGCCGTCATCCCCCCCCTTGCATTCAGAGGGTTTTCATCACAGTCAGAAGGGGGAGAAACTTTAAATGCCAGCAAGGGGGGCCAGTACATTATTGCTTTTAGACTGTACCGCATATGTCAGTTCAATCTGTCCTCAGGGAGTGAAGACTCCAAAACATTTTTGGTTATCACTGCTCACAAAAGGCACTTCCCATCCAAACCAGTTAAGGAAGCAAAAGTGCAACTGTGGCTCTTACGACACTAATTTTCTGCAGTATGAGTGTATTTGTTCAAGTATCTTTCCTCTAGGAAGTCAGAGAGCCATACTGTTTTCTTTATATGAAATGTTTTTGAAGACCTAAACCTGTCAAGTAGAAAGAAAGGGTAGAATTCATTAGCCTAACTTCAGAGCTCTACTACAGACATTTACATCTGAGCACGTCACATAGACATTCTCCGTACGGAAAGGAAAACAGCAGGCACTTCTAGGATAAACTGTATCATAAGCTCTGAAACACATCTAAAATAGGTCAGAAGAGTTGTTCTCTAATCAGTTTGGAGACATGAGCACTCCTAGAGGATATTGGTTATCTAGATACAAGTCTCTATCATAAATCTCTAAATTTTCGGAGGTGAATCTTCTCAAACAATCAGGTGCAGTACTTTCAGGTATGCACATATTTCTTTAAACTGTAGTTGTTCTGGCTAAGCTTCTCCTGAGCTACCAGTCATAAAAAAGCTGAGGTGAAATTAGAAACGTACCAATACCTGAAGTAAACAAGACCTATTCTAGCATTATTACAGACTACGAAATGTAGAGGCAGCCATCGAGACATAGGCCTAGGAGTACAGCAACCTGACTTTGCATATCAGTTCTAACACAGACATCTCATAAGTAGAGGGAAGTCACTCAGCCACTCTGCTTTTTTTGCTGTCCATCCATTAGGGCCAGCATACTTTGGCTTAAGTAGGTGGTGGCTCATAATTCTTGGTACTAAGTTTGAACACAGCCAATTCAAAATCAGGAGTTCAAGGTACTTCCAAAGCTGAATCTGCCTTTCACGGGCTTCTTAATAGTCACCTTAATACAACGTTGCCTATTTTTTAAGCGTTTCTCTCTTTAGCTGCGCTGAGAAGGAAGGAGGGCTGGCAGCGGCCACTGCTTGTGTGCGGGGGGCTCATCTGCCTGCCCCGCTCTGCTCCTGTCCTGCAGCCCCCGGTGGCGAGGACTGCTCGGCAGCTGCGCCAGGGCCGGGGTGCACCGGCGGGGTCGCCATTTTTTGGGGGGGGGGACTACAGGGCCGGTAGGCTCACCCC